TCTCCCCCCCCCCCCCCCCCACCTATCTGACCTCCTCCACGTCTTAACCCCCATTCGGTCCCTCAGATCCTCCTCCTCCATCCACCTCTCCCACCTGCCCGCCTCAATACTATGGGAGCCAGAGCATTCAGTCGCTCTGCTCCCCATCTCTGGAACGCCTTACCACCCGATCGCCGTAACTGTGACTCTCTCCCCACCTTCAAATCTCAACTCAAAACACACCTGTTCCGGACTGCATACTCCCTCTAACCTCCCTCCTCCTTGCTTCTGTTCGATTGATTTTAAATGTGTTTCTATGCCCTGTTTTATAATTATCTGTTTTTATTTTATTTTTATGTACATTGTCCTTGAGTGACCTGAAAGGCGCTTATAAATAAAATGTATTATTATTATTATTATTATAAAAGTGCTTTGTATGTGGGTGATAGGTTGTCTCTGAGTCCACCTCCTCTGTTGAGTGATGGTTTTTCCAGGTTGACAAAAACGGCTTCTTTTACCCCTCTCTCAAACCATCTGTCTCCCCTGGCCAAAATGTGCACATTGTTGTCCTCAAAGGAGTGTGTTTTGTCTTTAAGGTGTATGTGAACAGCTGAGTCCTGTCCTGAGGAGTTGGCCCTCCTGTGTTGGGCCATGCGCCTGTGTAGCGGTTGTTTAGTCTCCCCAATGTACAGGTCCGTACACTCCTCACTGTACTGAATGACATAAACCACATTGTCCAGCTTGTTTCTTGGAGTCTTGTCTTTGGGATGAACCAGTTTTTGTCTTAGTGTGTTGCCAGGTTTGAAGTGTACAGGGATCTGGTGTTGGTTGAAGATCCTGAAATGTATGGAATGACTACATTCCCCCTCCTTCACACCCTGCCGGTAAGAACTTACCTGACCATTGACCACATTTGTGCCCTTCTAGATTTCTGCCTCACCACCACTTACTTCCAGTTCAACGAATCCTTCTGCAGACAGAAGCATGGCTGCGCTATGGGCTCTCCTGTGCCTCCCATAGTGGCAAATCTCTACATGGAGGAAGTGGAGAACCGAGCTCTACATTGGTATGTGAGAACATCACCCAGCCCTTGGTTCCGAGATGTGGATGACACTTGGGTCAAAATCAAGGTCCACAAGGTCGACAACTTCACAGACCACATCAACGCGGTGGACAGGAACATCAAGTTCACCAGAGAAGATGTGAAAAACAACAGTCTTGCATTCCTGGTTCACATCACAGGGGACAGACATTTCAACATAGAGGTGTACAGGAAGCCAACTCACACAGACCAGTATCTCTGTTTTGACTGACACCACCCACTGGAGCACAAATTAGGAGTCATCAGAACCTTAGTCATGGGCAGACACCATTCCCACCATGTTAAGATTGTAAATACATTTATTCAATCTTTACAATATATTCATTATATTAAGTTTCCATATCAATTTATACTATTATTGAATGTTTATGTTATGCTGTACTAAATGGAAAAGTACTGAAGAAAGGTGTGCTGATGGTTTACATGACAGGATGATATGGACAGCACTGAATGAGTGAATGACTGTTGGAGATAGAGACAGGACACAGAACCGGCCAGAACTAGTTTCTTTGCCCAAATCAGGAGACTGACGGAAGACCAACAAAAGAAAGAGAGAAAAACATCCGAACTGCATGGTCTTATCTGACTTGATTAACTGCAGCACATGCACATAGCTCCTATTGGTGGAGAATCCTTGTTTGGAGCAGTCTTTACCAATCAGTGCTCAGAAGTGGCACGTGAACACCGCATGGCTGTGGAATGCCAAGGTACTGACCATTGAAGTGTGTGTGTTAAAAAAGAAAAAAAAACTGTATTTAAGCTTTGAGCACTGGGGTGTTCCTCAGTGCAGTTCTGAATGTAACCATTGTTCTGCACTCCTTTCTACAAGTAAATCTTTAAAAACATTTGAGATCTCGTATTTGATTCTTTTTGTGTTAGGAAACTGGGGTATGAACTAACAGCATATTTTACAGTCCTATCTAACAGAGAAAGTCTCCTGACACACCACCAACAGAGGTAAGATGAGAGAACAGGGACACATTAGGACAGCTCTCAAGACCTGTGACTATCCCAGATGGGCTTTTTTAAAAACAAAGAAAAAGAGTCCCACAAAGAGGGAGGACAAAAGGAGGAGGGGGAATGTCGTCATGCCATACATTTCAGGATTTTCAACCAACACCAGATCCCCGTACACTTCAAACCTGGCAACACCCTAAGACAAAAACTGGTTCATCCCAAAGACAAGACTCCAAGAAACAAGCTGAACAATGTGGTTTATGTCATTCAGTGCAGTGAGGAGTGTACAGACCTGTACATTGGGGAGACTAAACAACCGCTACACAGGCGCATGGCCCAACACAGGAGGGACAACTCCTCAGGACAGGACTCAGCTGTTCACATACACATCAAGGACAAAACACACACGGCTGTTTACACTTTCCCGATTGACCCCAAGGCCCAACCCAACAGGAAACCCATCCTGAAGTAGCTTTATTCTTTCACACCTAGAGTATATATTTGCTGTACTCCTCACCACCAGTTAGAACGGAAGAAGCCTCTTGGATGAGAGGTGAAACGTCTTCTTTTAGAAAATTCACGTCCAGTTGCCTAACAGAACGTTTCAACCTTAATTCTCTGTTGACATGCATGACAACACTACTGTCCTTCATTCTTTGGACAACAATTTTTTTGGCAAAGAGCATTTAGTAACAAAGACAAATGTTGGACATCACTGACAGTACCAGCACCAAAATAATGGTGAGCCAGCACCAGCACTAAAATAATCAATGAGGACTTTAGCCTGGTGAGGTGTTAAACGTAAGTGATATAAAAACCATATAAATAGTTTTTTGTAAAATCAGTGTTTAGCAGGTTGAGACACTTAAGAATGATTACTATTTAGGCTATAGAAGTGCTAACAATACTCAATACTGAAGCAGCAACATTTACAAAGCCACAGGCCATGTATTGATTACTAGAGATAAAAGAGAAGTCCAACTTTCTTTCAGCCTAGTATAGATTCTTAAAGCCTGAAGATAGCTAATGTACACAATCGTACAGAAATTATAGTGCAGACAAAAGTAAATGAGTCTGAAATACAATAATGCTAAATGCTCACCAGTGCTCCTTCCAAGCAGGTAGCGTAATGGTAGCCTCGGCCCATGATCAGGACACTCTTTTGCTGATACAACTCAGCGGCCAACTTCTGGATCTCATCATCCAAACTGAGGACTTCTTTAATCAAGTCTACATGTCAGAAAAACAGATTTTGTCCCATTTATTAGTAGATACCATAATGAAAGAACCACAGCAGTAAATTATGTAAATATATTGCATCTTAACATCTTGATGGCAAATGGTTTAGAGCTTTTTTATAATGTTGGGCACAGAACAGGGTAAAAGATTTGCTCTGGCATAGAACAGAACTAAAGTCTGCTTTAGGGATACTTGATATTACTTGATGAAATAAAACGATTAAAAAAAGATGATTAACTGCTCAGTCAATACATTATAATCAAATATTTTACCAGGATTTATCCAGCTGAAGCAATACCCTGTGGTATTTACCTGGAAGCACTTTCAGGCCTTGGATTATCTCGTTGCGTCTGGGCTGCATTGAAATCCTGTCATCGCACATCAAGAGAGCAAACATGACCAGGGACACAAACTGGCTGGTGTACGCCTGCAAGAAGAGACATTAAATAATTATTTACACTGAGTCACTGGCCACATATGAGGATGTCATGGCCTGGAAGTATCCCCCAAGCCAGGGGTTTGACACCCCTTTACTAAGGAGAAAGTAATATCCCTGTTTGGTACCATTATACTTCAGTCACAGCGCAGCAACTTGATCCTAACTTTGGCCTCTGTTTCAGAGTTTGTGGAGCCATAAGTGTGTTTTCTCTTTGTTTTGATAGCCAAATTTGTGTCCAGCTAATAATCTGCAACAGATGAGAAGTGCAGAAGGGTTTTTTTTTTTATTTGATTTTTTTTCTTCATTATTTTAACACACGCCACGCAATACTAAATGGCGTGCAGATGAGAGCCGTCAAGCTTATGTGGCTCATGGGGTCAAATCTGGCATACACAGGGTTGTCATTGGTCAACTATGGGTACAAATAAAAAACCTGCATTTCCTTGTCAGGTATTACCAATTGGTTTTAGGTTAAAGGTACCCAAAGTACTCTGTGAGACCAAAGGTTCCTAAGGAACCTAGTGACACACCAACATAAGCAAAACACACCAGGCAATCACAATAGGCAACCTCAGCACATCTGAGAATTGATGCATGTTGTCATCTCTATCCTTCACCTGAAAGCTTTTTTGGAGCGCTGCCATGCCAAAATTTTCCAAAGTCCAAATTTTGACATTTAGCACTGTAGTCTCTGACAGGCCAGCATGTTTAATTCACACAGTAAAATGACTTTACATTTACTCACAATCGATACTTCATGTGGGTTTTATTTAAGGTCAGTGCTTGTGGAGTGCGGACTGCCTTTGGGGGAAAAAAAAAAAAAAAAAAAAAAAAAAATAAAAAAAAAAAAAAAAATTTATAAAAATAAAAATATATATATAAA